TCACAGATATATAAATCTGTGCTACCTGATTCACAGATCTTTAAAGAAAGTCAACTCTATCTTTAAAAGCAATTTGTTGAAGCTTTGTTTATTTCTTTATTCTGGCATTTCTGGGGCCTGAACCTGAGGCCTTATGTATGCTACCCCATTTTCCCAATGAAAAATTTGATTTGGCATTACAAAAAAGTCTCAGCTATTTTCTATCTGACCTTTTACAGACAAAAGAGCTAAGCTTCCCTGTTAACTGAAAACAATCGGTTTAGTAGAAGGAGTATTAAACTAGGAGTCAAATATGAGTTTACAGTCGACTCCCCACACAACCTCCAGAAGGCACAGTTTCTCTGGCCATTCCTTTAGTGAGAAAAAGAACCATGCCTGGGGCACATCAAGTCTGGTTTGAATTTCTGTTGGTGGCAGGCAAGAAGGACAAGGAAGACAGCATACTCTGTGTTCCCATGCCACCCTGTCCTGGTTCTTTTGCAGACCAAGACATTCAGACAATCAGAATATCCCTTGGGGACGGTCAGGGGGCCACACAGGATGCTAAAGAATACGATGAAAGGGAGGGAAGGGGGGATAGCAAGGGAGAAAGGAGGGAAGGGGGGATAGCAAGGGAGAAAGCAGGGAGGCTAGGGAGGAAGAGGAAGGAGGAGGCAGGCTTTGAGGGAGCTGAATACAGAGAAGCACGGGTTTGGGAAAGAGAATTTCCTGGCTCTGCACGTACAGCAGGTATTTTGGGCAATGTTAGCCATGGTCACACCATTTTGTAAAGTCCCCATTTTGGTTAAAAAATGACAATTATCAGAACTCAGGTAACTTGTTTTTCTAAACTCTTATCCTCCCTATCCTGCCAACCCCTAGTAAAGGCTGATCACCACTGGAGAATTTATTGCTCACTTTATTTCTCTAGCTACCCTAGCATTGGCTGACCATGGACCTAAAAAGGGACACTTCCCCTCCCCTCCCTATGTCTGCCCTAGGTCTACCCAGCCTCTAAGAGGAAACAGGTATCCTTAGACCACAGATATCCCTCTAGATCTTTTCCCAAATAAAGCCTGTGCTGTCCCTGGGTCACTGGTGCCACCACCTAGCTTTCCTTTTCCCAGACCTTGCAGGAAGGGGCTCCAGTGTGTGCTCGGTGGAAGTCCAACAGCACTCGGCACAGCAATCCTAAAAGGCCTCACTTTGGTGGCAGTCTAATAGAACAAAAGGGAAGGGGTCTTCTCGCATCCTGAGCCTTAGGATGGAACTGGAGACTTTGTAAGTCTCCAAGATTTATCACATCTAAGGAGATCCATCAGTGGATGTTGCCCAATCGACTACGTGGCACAATTAAGTAACAAAGTCAACGAGATGTCCGTAGACCAACAGAAGAACATAGAGCTTTGTCTCTATGTAGCTTGCGGCTCGCGCCCAAGACTTTTTTCTCTACTGCAAACCCTGTCCACTTTCTCCCTTGTGCCCTGTACCCCTGGCTTCAGAGTGGGGCAAAGCAGCCCCCCCCCCCACTGCCCCACGCCTGCTGGCTGCTCCCGTTGTTCCTGCTTTCTGACCTGCACTCCCACCCACCTCAGTCGCTGCCCTCTCGGTCCGCCACCCTGTTTTGCTTTCCAGATGAGGCCCTCTTCTCCCCACTTCCTGGTACCCTGCATTCTTTGAAGTATCCATGGTGTAGTTCCTGCCTGTCCCTACTAGAAACCCTCCTTTTCCCTTTCTCGGTTCCAGATAGAGAAAAGCGGTGGAGGAGGGGATTACAAGGGCACTGCCCTTCTGGGATTTAACCCCATTCTCAGCTGGTGGCTTTTGTTTTCTCATCTCCCTGGCTTGTAAGGCCCTCAGGCGGGCAGGCACACTGCAGCAAGCTCAGTGTTGGGGAGAACGGGGCGGGCGGCAGCGCGGTGAGGCCTTAATTAGAGCAAGGCCTCAGACCTGGTGAGGGATTTTAATGTGCAGAAGGAAAAGAAATTTCAAAATACCCATTTGGTAGCAATGAGCGAGGGTAAAAAAGATGGCTATTTTATTATGTAAAGCAAACAATGAAAGCCTCCATGTGTTCATGAGCACAGAATCTTTATACTGGCATTAAAAACAAAAAAACAAAGCAGTACTAGAAAACACTCCCTCTGCAGGCCTAACAGGGTGAGTGTGGACACAAACACTGGGCTCCAACCCTCGGCAGAAAGAGCCTGGGAACCAAAGACACCATTAAAAGAAAAGGTGCAGAATCAGCAGCAAGACCAAAGAACAATTTTCTGGTCACTGAGATGTTTAGGCCACAGCGGTGACACGCCGCCGGGATCACCTAACAAAGGCGTATGATTTAGCAACTGGGTTCAATTTACCTGCTGGCCAGATAGCTTTCTGCAGATGGGTCTGGAGCTAGGCTTCCCTGCCCCCTTGCTGTCAGCAAGGTGAAAAGGCAAAAGCATTTTGCCTGCATCACAAATTCAAATTCTTGCATTCAAAGGCTCCTCAACCTAACATCTGCTCATGAATTCGAAAGTGGCAGCCGTTGCTGAGGTCACCTGGCAATGTAGGCAGGCCAGCTTGGAGAAGGGTAGCCAGGCATACGGTGGCTTGTCAGGAGCCAACACGCCTTAGCAAGGTGGTGAGAGAAAAGACACAGAGTCCAAGCAAAGACCTGTCCTTGACATTGGCTGAGCTGCCTGTAAACTGCAGAGTGGATTCAGGGAACAGTAACAAAGATTTCTTTTCTGCATGCAACAGGAATGATACATAATTGTGCCTGTCCATATCATTATCTAGCCTTGTGTGGGACCTGAACAGAGTCTCATGGGGACCCTGTCATATTCCATTTTGCCTGGCTGACAGCAGTGTCTGTTACCTAGTAAATGCTCAACCAATGTACCAGGGGATGAATCAGTTTGCTGAGGCATCTCTCCCTTCCACCTGCAGCAGGCAGTTCTCTACAACAAAGGACTAGAACAAGCTTGTCCTGCAGGAGGGTGTTTCACAAAACCAGTGAAGTCTGAGGAACCAGCCAGGCCACCTCTGTGGTACTGTGTAGTCTAAGTTATGGATCGGTCTTAGAAAGTGCTTGTAGAATGTTCAAAAGGCTTTTAAGAACCATAGAGTGCTTAACTTGTATAACAGATCATCCCTGTTCTTCTGTTCTCATCCCCAGACTAACTTGACAGGCATTGAACAGCACTGGCTCTTAAGACCTTTCTTAGCCCTGTTACTATAATAGAGAAAAAAATGATGGCACTAAGGTCTTTCCAAGCCATGGACAGGCGAGTGTGTTAGGCTTTCCAAGACAAAGGCCTTTGAGCATTTTGCCTTTGAAAAAAGAAAGTGGAAGTCTCATTGCTTTGCCATGAGCTTAAATCCTGGAGTCCTTATGAAAACAAAACAAGATACTTTCCAGAACATTCCTTGCTCCGAGAGGCCGTTACTGAGTTGATATTGGGCTGTGCCAGCGTGGCATCACTTGGTAGCAGTGCCAAGAATTTCGCTCTACCTTTCCAGGTAGATTCAGGGTGCTGCTGGGGTCAGAGGCAGCCATATGTGTTGTCTGACAGGCCCAAACCAGGCACAGGGGCCTTGGCTGCCTTCCCATCAGGAGCTCCCTAAGGCAGGAGCAGCCACGAGGCTGTGAAGCCTTGCTTCAAGAGGCTCAAGGGTCCACAAAGACACGGTTGCAGCTTGTGCTTGCACAGTCTGTTGTATGGTGCGGTTCCACTGGCTCCTTGCAGGCGTCCACGCCAGTGCCACGCCCCCAGGAAGGCTTTCCCAAACAAACCATTCCAGTGACTCTCCCTACAGCATATCAGCATATCACCCTTGCTTTTTTTTTTAATTTAGTTCTTTATATATCTTTGAGATGGGCACTTGCCCAGGCTAGCCCAGAACTACACGCTTGTGCCACTGTACCCAGCTACTTTTCCTTCTTGTTCTTGTGTTTGTTAGCTATTTGATTTTATGTTTGTTTCCCTTTTGTCTACCCTGTCATATTAGAGACAGGAACATGAGAAGCAAGTTCTGGTCTGTCTTGTTGATTATTTCATCTCTGGAATCTGTCTGGTAAACAGTAGGTGCTCAGTAAAAGTGCTGAATGTTTAGCTTTGAGAAGTAGCTGTTAGAACAAGCTCCATGGGACTTGGTGTGATTTAGTAATAAAGAGAAAGGCACTAGGTGTTTTCTAGATGCTTCCCCACCTGTAAAGCAAGAATAAGGCTCCAAGTCTAAGCCATGGCCTGCCAGTCTAGCTACAGGGGATCCTCAGTAAAGACTGGGTTAGATCCACATCAGTACAGAAGCAAGAGATAAAGCCTTACACTGCCACTGAGTTAAAGCTTGGAAAAACATTTTTCTATTCCCCAAAGAAAATCAAGGGCTGAGAATTTTATACCATAAATCATTCAGGCAGAAAACCACACATTTGCCCATTTCATTTTGGTTAGAACAAAGCAGTTGTTTGCACATTCTCCTGCCGCACCTGCTCTGGCCTGCCCAGCTCAAACACCTCAGCCAAAAAGTGTAAATGGGTTCAGCCTACCTAGTCCCTTAGAAAGCAAGAAGGAATAAGTGCACTTTCCCTCATTTCAGCTAATCTAGGAAATCCAATAATAATTGTAAATGGGTAAGTTTAGAAAAGCTTTATGCCTTGTGAACATCGCTCTAAGCAACACACAACAAAGTACTAAATAATAATTATTCTTCCATTCACTGGGCTATTTATTAGCTTGATAATGGTGCAGTGTATTTCCCAACAGTCTTATTTGGTTTTCTGCCTCTATGAATTATATTTTAAATTTCTTTAGGCATGACCAAGAGCAACACAGATGAATAATGTCATTTAAAAAATCATTAGATATGAAAATCTACAAGATGACGCAACCACGCTTGAGTAGAAAACAAAAGGAACATTCTATGAATATGGGATCTCTCAGGCATTTATTCATTAAAACAACAACTGCATTTCATCCACCTAATCTTATAATTAAGATTCAAATTCATTTAAAATGATTAATTTGTACTGGCCTACTAAGATGGAAGACATTCTGTTAGGATTTTCTCAACAGCAAGGGCTTTAGCTACAAATGCTGAGCTCACTATATTTGCCCAAGAGCGAGTGATAATTAGCCGGATCCTTCTGAAATTGTTAATGCTGCTGGCCCTAAAATAAATGTCCATTCTGGATCAGGTTTCCTACAGTTCCATTCAGTCTGCAATCGGATGGATACTATATTCAAAATGTACTCAGTCATTTTAAGTCACAGACAAGAAGCAAAATGGCTTCCAAGCAGATTTAAAAAAAAAAAAAAGGTGTTGCAGGAAGACGGCTATTTCGTGGCAAGCCCAGAGAGCGGATCACCACATGAATCATGTTCTAATATAACTGAGCCACAGAATGATAATTCAGTTGGCCTCAAAACAACACAATAACAATAAACTCTTTAACCCATAGAGATTTGACTGTGCAGATCACGCTGTAGGAAATGAAACAGACTGCTAGAAATAAGCAACTATTTACATATACGGTTCTGAACCCCAAACTTCTTCACCTGGGAGCACCTCCCGGAGGAGGTTTCAGGTCTGGCATCAGCCACAGAGACCTCCCATGAGGGCTCGCCATGCACTTGTCATGGGGAAGGAAGGCTTGGGTTTTGGTCCAGCTCTACCCTGTGCTGGGAGGTTACCATGGAGGGCTGAGGAGGACGGAAGCAGAGGCACTGGCTGATTCTTAAGAGTTTTGCAAATAGCTTTTGTTTTAGAGGCGCCGGTGAGCTCATGAGCATCAAGGTACACCTTTCTCCCCAAACCTTGACCTGAGTCTTAGAGCGCATGGAGAAACCTTAATTTACAATGGACTGAGCACAAAGGAGACAGAGAAAAGCTGTCACTGAGCAAGTCTCTGTAGATTTAGAAATGCAACTGAGATGTTATGGTTTTTAAGACTGCATTTAACAAAAGATGTCTAGTCTAAAGCCAGTTCAAATTCTGCCTGAGAGGACACAAAACTGTAAGACTCTCACTTGGCTAGGGTCTTCTTTTCTAATGCATTCTTGTGCATATCTATTACTGCATTTTTAAATAAGAGTTGGTTACCAAGGAAACAGGTTCTGGCCCAGTGTTAATTTGAAACTAAGATATTTTTGAGGGGTTAGGCTAAAAGGAAAGAGCTCATGAAATGATTCTGAAAAATGCCAGGATTTGGTACATAGAAAGCCACAACTGTATTTCTGCAATGAGCCATTCTAGGGGCTCAGCTTCACCTAATGGAGCTCAATTTCTGTAAGAGGGCCATGGAAACATAGCATTTCTCCCTTTAAAAATGATGATTCCCCGCCCCCACCAACAGCTACATGCACATACAAATAGTTAATTTACCACTGTATATGACAAAAATATGATTTTGAAAATTTTAACCTTTGATTTTCATATTTCACACAGTACAGTTAAGAGTCCGCTTCTTAAAGATTAAACATTTTTGATAGTTCCTATTGAGTTTATTTACGCTCTTTGAAATTATCTCAGAAACCCATTTGCTTTTAGTTTCAAGCTAAAACTGAGCCAAATCACCAGACTTTTCAAAAAAATTCTTTTGTCCAGTGGCGCCACACCTATCATACAACTGAATTTCTTTGAAAAAGAAGTCATCTCACTTTTTACAGCAAAGTCACTTTTGAAGTTTATGCTTCTGTTCATGTAGTATTTGTATACGAGAGGCTATTCAGTTTAAAGCCATCCCCAACATATTACAAGTATCTTAATTGTAATTTTTAAAGTCACATTTTAATGCATCTAATGCTTTTCTAGCACGGCTCAAAAAATCTATAAAGCATGCAAATTCCAACCTACCTGTACGCATCACTCAGGGCAGTGTTAGCATAACAAGACACTCGGCCATTTTTATGTGAGGTGATGGAGACCAACTGATTTCTCCGTCTTCTTGCTCACAAGTTTTAGATGCGATTGCCACACACACCAAGAATCATACGCAGAACAGCTTGAATGCACTGTGATCACGAGGACTGGATTTATCAACAGCAAAACAGGACTGAAAAAAGAAGTTTCTTATCCAAGGATTCTCTGAGGCTGCAACCAAGGAGGTGGTGTGGTGATTTGTTTTCCTCTCTTGCTCCTCTGAGAGTTCAAAGCTCAGAGCTGACCACTGCAAAGGCCACTGTCACATTTGCTGAAAATCAAACCACTGATCGCAGCACCGAAAATACAAATATGAGGAGCCGAGCTGCTTGCACATGATGCAGTGCCTATGAGTTAAAAATAGAGTCCACCTTGCCTCCTACCTGCATAATAAACATGTAAGTTTCGAGTGTTTAATCTGATATTCACATTAATTAACAATACAACATACATTATTTAAAAGACAGCAAATGCAAGAAGAAAGGGGGAGACGCCATCTGGTAGCAGAGTTTTGTTGTTCTTGTTTGGGTCTTAAGGGTTTTGTGGGATTTATTTGGCTTTGTTTTTAAAAAAAAAAAGGGCAGAATCTTATTTTGAACGTGATGAAAGCAAGCCTCCAGAAGCAAACGACTCCGAAAAGAAAGGTGATGTCGAAATAACGAAGGCTGTAATGAGGCAAAGCAAGTCTTCGCTACCAGATGATATGGCATAGAGAGCATTTACATACTCACATCTAAAATACTAGGCACCACGTAATGAATTCTACACAGCACGCACACACAGCACAGCACGGCTAATCCTGCCTGCCATCTTAGGCTCACACGAGCAAGATCCGCACTGCATGCAGCACAGGAGCGAGCAAGCGGGAGGGAGGGAGGGGGAGGCAAGGGACAGCTCACCTTAAATGCAGTATCTGATTAATGTTGTAAGTGACATTGCATAGCAGCCTCAGAGTCTTGGCTCAACTGGGTAGGAGGGAACAAAGAAAAATGTCATCAACTGGTGATGCAAGATGAGCCCAATCACTAACCACTGTTTAGCAAACTCCAAATTCTGCAACCAGGCAGTAGAAGGCATTTCATGCACTTAAGCAGAGCGGCTGCACAATGAATAGGTCCTTCTGCTTCTGAAAATCAAACAGCCCTTTTGCTAAGGAAGAAAATCAGCTGGAACGAACACTGTCATATCCTCTTCTTGGAGAGAGCTTGCAATACAGTATGTATCTGCTTGGGGATGCATTTTATAGACTGTTAATTTCATAGGATTGCTAGCAGCAGCAGAACAAAAAAATTAAAAAAAAAACCTGCTAAGCTACTGCCAAGTGAAGATGAATTCTGAAAAAGGGAATAGCATTTGTAGATTGGTTTTTCAAAACCCTAAGGTGCTGGCAGGCTTGTAGAAGAATGCATGATCAGTTGTCTGTATCCGTTCTATAACCTTTAACCACAGGCAGTGTTAATGTATCCGGCTAAATGTATCTGCAGTACAGAATGGCAGATACCGCTGCAGACAGAATTGTATGAAGATGGAAGCGAATTTTCTTACAGTTAGAAGCCAAAGAAAATCAGTATAGAAAAAGAAATTGATGTCAGGTTCCTTAGGGTGTACAGCTGGCGGCCTTCGTAAACAATTAAAGCTATCTTTAGGATGCTGACCTAAATAATAGTAAGATTTACAGCAGCATACTGTACGTGTTCCAAACATAGCAAATGCAGAGTGATTTGTCTTCCCCCTCCCCCTTCAAAGCGAACAAGCCAGTTATAGGAATACCAAAAGGCAATGGACAGTACACACTGGAGGGGAGGCAGCGTGTGCTGAGAGGCGCTGTCCCTTTGTCTTTACTTTGAGGGTTATTTGAGCTACACTTGCACCATGGCATTGACATTAGGAGGTCAGGGCTGATGCGGAGTTGCTATCCATTTTATGAGTGAAATGTTTCCCCCAAATTAAATCTCATCTACTCGGATACCAAATTTCATGTCTTCTTCAGTGCCCTCCCCCCGGCCCCCGCCCCCAGCGCTGCTCAGGATTGTTGGGACCTAGTTTGACTGTGTGTAATACACTGGGATTGCTTTATATAGACTCGAATTCATAATCATGAGAAATTATATTTTAATTTTAAAAAGCCTTTAAGAATTCATAGGCACAGACCCTTTTGTTCCTTCCTCTCTCTCATGCACATACACGTGCATGCGCATACATGTGCACACACACATACATACACGAATATTTGGAGCTCAATTTCAACAAAACGTTTAACATGTGGAACAAAAACTGTCAAAGGGCTGCTTATCCAGGATTTTAAAGAAATACTCCATAAACAAATAGCATTTTGCTACAAAGCAAGTGTGACTACGTTCTCCAAGGAGGAAAACAGGGTAGCTTGGTAGATTTATTATTTTTTTTTAAGATCCTACCAGCAGGCTAAAAAACAGAAAAAAATATTTAACATGCTCCATAACAAGAAGTCTTTAATTTGAGAAAACAAAACAGATTCTTTTCTACAAAGAAACCCTACCCACCCCCGCCCTCAGAGCCCAGATATAAGCTAGCATTTTTATGAAATGCTCTGAGGTTATTTTTAAATCTTTACATTTTTCTTTTCACCTCTCACACAGTCTTTAACTGCCTATTGCATCACCAAATATGCTAATGTTAATTAATTTTAACAATGCGACGATGATTTAATGTTTTCTTGGTTTGTCAGTTTCCTAGTGGCTCTATCTTCTGTGCGAGCTGCCTGATGATAACAATGCTAGCAGAGCCTTCTCATGCCCTCGAAATTGCCTAGAGAAGGAAATCCATTTGAAAATTTCAGCTTAGGTAGCAGGCTTCACAACTGGATTGTTTCTAGTTTGAATTCTGTCTTCTCCCTTAAAACGGAAGAGATTTGCAGCTGGCTGTGTCGAAAGCCTCCCTGCCTATCTCTAGCTCATAGGCAGTATTCTGTCAGTGGGGTAGGCTGTCAGGATTGTGGGTCCTACCTGATCCACAGCACGTCGTCACCTTGTTGAAGCACACTTCTCTCTCACAAGTGCTCCAGAAACGAATGTGGCTTTAATGAAAACAGTAGCTCCAGTGTTACTAACACCAGTGATGGAGCCTTCTTCCCCGCCCCCACACCATGGCTCTCTGAGCTCTGGCTAACAACATTGACAGCGACAGAAAATTAGAACGGAGTGTCCTTGTACTAATTCCTTCTTTACCAAGGGGGTCTACAATTAGACTGTTATGTGGAGTTACAAGCACAAAGTTAGCTACCATCCGGTCATCTGTAAAGTGGGGGTCCTTCAAGAAGAATTGAAGAAGGTGGGAAGAAACACCTTTGGCATGCAGCACTCAATGGCTGTTGAGACAGTCCCCGTGAATGACACCGCAAGGCTAGACATTCACATTACACATGTACAAGGAATTATTAAGATACAGAGACAGTGGTGACTATATTGAGCCAACTCAGTGCCTCATCTGTCTGGGATAATAAATGACAGTGACAACAACAGTCATCCATCTCAAGCCCCCTGGAGATGAGTGAATGATGTTATAGCAGTGGTTCTCAACCTTCCTAATGCTGTGACCCTTCAATACAGTTCCTCATGCTGTGCTGACCCCAACCATAAAATTATTTTCATTGCTACCTCATAACTGTAATTTTATTACTGTTATGAATCGTGATGTAAATATCTGACATGCAGGATATCTGATGTGTGACCCTGTGAAAGGGTTGTTTGACCCCCCCCCCCAAGCATTCATGACCCACAGGTTGAGAACCATTGCTTTGTAAGGCAGGGTGGTGGCTGTGGTTGTGCCCTATACTGGTGCTTCTTATAACCAGATGCCAGGGTTAGGGTTTCCACACTTCCCTGTGGGGTGCCCTTGCTCACTGTTGTGTCAAAATGAGCACAAAATCACATATTGGATGTTATTTTGTGATGTCCCCAGAGAGTGAGCAAACCTACTTGGGTTAAACAAACATGAATTCTAGCTGTAAATATTCCGAGGAATGGATCTGTTTGGGCAGATGCTGTCAACTAATAAATCTTGTCTTGTAGTGAAAAAAAAAAGTCATGCTCATGCCTGAATTATTTAAGCTTTGTCACTATCACAAGTGGCAAAGATATGTATGCATTTGCTTAGGATTTTAAAAAAACGTCACACGCCCTTCATCCTTAGAGCGCATGCACAGACCTTAACTTAAATGAGAATCCCTTTTCTACAGTGAAAATTGTAGGCTTTGACAAGTCAAACGCAAGTTTCCCAGAACAATGCGGCAAGAACAAGCTGGAGGACAGAGCGAGGAGTGTGATTCTTTCACTGACATGTGTTTTTGCTTGCCCTGGCCTCTGCGTTCTGCAGGCGGAGCTAATTTTATTTCCAGGCCTGTGGGTTAAAGTTAAATTGCATGGCTTATGCAAAGTACATAATTCAAGTATGAACAAAGCTCGACTCTTCTCATTTTAAAAAACCATCAAGTGAGGGCACCAGGTCCCAGAGGAATCCTTGGTTTATAAACATTTGGATTGGTTTGCATGTTTCTTGATGCCATTCACGGCTTTAAAAATTACAGCTGGTTTCATTTTATACCTAATCTACATATTGGTAGGTGAACTCATGATCAGGTTAGCTAGTCAACTGAATTTTAAAAATAAACGCTTACATTTTTTGTTTAAATTTTTAAAATATAAAAGGCAGATTTTTTAATGAGGTTGATTATATTCAGACCTGGAAACAATTTGGTAGTTCTTTTTCCTTTTCTTTCCTTCTTTAATTAATTATTATTATATCTGTGGTCTTTGAGACAGACTCTCACTGTGTAGTCCTGACTGGCCAGGAACTCACTGTGTAGGTGAGTCTAGCGTCAAACTCAGAGATACCATCTACCTCTGCCTTCTGAATGCTGGGATTAAAGGTGTGTGCAACCTCAACCTGCAATGAAGTGATTTACCAATGACTTAAAATAACTTTGGGGGGCTGGAGAGATGACTCAGCAGTGAAGAACACTGGCTGCATTTTCAGGGGACCTATGTTTGATTCCCAGTACCTACATGATATCTCACAACCATCTGTAACTCCAGTTCCAGGAGATCCAACACCCTCTTCTGAACTCCATGAACCCCAGATACACACTCAGAAAAACACTTACACACATTTTAAAAAAATCTAAAAAATAATGGAATGATATTTTAGCTGACATTTTAAAGAAAGTCCATCATACTTCCAATGGCTACATCTTGTCCAGTAATCAGGACAACTTCTGTGTGCTGACCAAGGCTGGAAATCATACCTAATATGTTACCTATGTTATGTTAATAAATTCTAACCTAATAATACTATATCCTATAGTACTATTCATCATTGGTTTTAAAGATAACTATTACATAGAGACTAGGGTTGAAGTCTGAGACTAGTTGATTGAAAGCCTGAACCTTCCCCTAGCCCTAAGGGATGAAGCTGCCTCATTCATCTCATCTCCACCTTACCCCAGAAATCTTCCACTTCGATGACATCCTGGGGGAAGGTTTCTCACAGAGTACCCTGGTCCCCTGTTGCTGTGGCTACCCCTGTGTATATGACCCAGGGTACTGTGGAAATCTAAGCTGTCACCAACCAGAGACAGCCTGCTTGCAGCCATTTGAAAAAAAAAAGAATAAAAAAATCAAGTAGACAATGTTGGGAAATTAGGAGTAGAAAGCAGAGCAACAGCTTTGGAGGGAGGTTTGCAGCATTTTGTAAATGCTTCATGGTACAAAGTAGGTGGGAAGAGCTCACATTTCTGCACATGCTAACATCTCATTGAGGAGAGTTCAGTTTTCCCATGTTATACCTTAGGCTTGGATTGACCTCAGTATACATAAGGCTCTGAGTTTGATTCCAACACCACATACATACAGATTTGCCCCAAATTTCACCCTTAATAAGCTAGTTCACCCACTCATTGTATTAAAGATCACAGCTGGTTTTCTTTTAT